ATATTATAATTAGCACCCGACTATCAAAGCATACATGTAGGCATTAGTCACTGAATCATGGTTTCTGATGCCTGTGAGTTTGGGGGCAGGGAGTGGGTACTCCATGATCAGTGTTATGGTATGGCATCCTGGAACCCTTGGTCTACACCAGACCATGTTATATTATTACTCTATTCCCCAGGTTAACCAGTAATAGTTGTTGTGAACTCTTTGACTCTAAAATCCTTATCACTCATGTGTTTCTTATGTTTTGTGTATGTCTCTAATGTGTTGCAGACGACACTGAAGTTGTGTTTTATGAGACTGACCCTAGTACTGGCAAGAGGTCATGGGAAGCTCAAGGAATCTTCTCTCCCACAGACGTCCATAGACAGGTGCAGTTTATTGGCAAAAAAGATTATTTAAAATAGCCTGTTTGTTAAACTTTGATGATTGGAGAAATTGGATAACATCTGTAATAAATTATATTCTCAATTCGGTTTCAAGGTCCCAAGTTTTTCAACTCGCCAAATTGTGAAATTCCAAACTATGAAAGTATTGGTTTGTTTGGCATAAGACGTGAAAAGAACTCCTTCTTTCTTGGTGACATGCATATACTCTTTGTTGAGCTACATACTTTTTCTTTTCTTTTCTTTAATTTTGTAATAATTCATTTTTCATTCAGTACCCTTAATTCACATGGTGTAACCCATATTCTCAAAAAGCCTATAGTTCATAAGCCCCCTGGCTTCTAATACGTTTCCTTTTAATTGCCATTACCAAGAGCCATACATTAAGTGTCTAACATCTTTAATATTTTATAAATTTATTGTATATTGTGAATTAAAAATGGTTGCATGGTAATATAAATGAATGAATGAACTATTATAGGTTGCCATAGTGTTCAAAACGCCGGCATACTGGAATGTTGCTACTGAAAGTCCTGTTAAGGTTCATCTTGAACTGAGGCGGAAGTCAGATCAGGAAACCAGTGAACCTGTGGAGTTCACTTATGAACCACAGATGTTTGGTATGTGGCTCAGATTAAGGCAGAGTTCTTCAGCTGTTGATAACAAAAGTTTTCACAGTGTCAGGGAAAATTGTTTAATTGTGTAAAAAATGAGCGACGATTTTGATGGTCAATAATTATTTATCATCATTCATGTCCTGCAAATTCAAATGTGTGGACATTTATTTTGCATTAAAAAGAAAACATGTGGACAGAATAAGGTGCGATTTGCGATCCATAACTTACTGCACGGACCAAAATTCTGCAGCTCGAAATCTTTTCATCTCGAAACAATGATGAGTAGTAGAACCTTATAAGTATAGATCTGTAAACCCTGAGGGCTTGGATGTTGACTTCGTCCTTCCACATTTTAGCCAGTACCTGTGTTTATTTGAGAACGAAACTGATGAAAACATTTAGCGAAAGGAAATACTTCTCACGAAGAAAGGCAAAGGAGGCCCTCGAGAAGGCCGCGAATGTCGCAAGAATCGCAAAAGTATCAAGACTTTTTTACTTGCAATAGAAAAGACAGGAAAACAAATATCGCAAGATTAGCGAGAGTAACAAATTTTTTAATGAATAACAAATTAAGCAAAAAAAAAAAAGACCTCTAAAGTTAAATGGCAAAGACACCTTTGACAAGGTTGCAACCAACAAAAATTGCAAAAGTAACAAGGAACTGCTATGTTTGGAACAATCGGGAACATAATTGACATTAAATTTGTTATTCTTTATGTAGAACACAAAAAATTCTTGTTACTTTTGCGATTTTTGCGAAATCTGCGGACTTCTGGAGGGCCTTCTTTTCCTGTCCTCTTGATAAGTCGAGAATTTTGTGAAATTGGTTATTCGTGCTATTCTTGCGATATTTGTTACCGCGTCTTTTTTGATAACAAGAAACATTCTTGTTACTTTTGCGAAATTTGCGGACTTCTCGGGAGCCTCTTTTGCCTTTCTTTTGCATAAGACTGAAGTTTTGTCAAATTTGCTTTTCTTGCTTTTTTTTTGCCATATTTGCAAGTAAGGGTCTGACAGTATTTTCTTGCGAATTGTTTTTTGCTAAAATTGCGATTTTTCAATCCTGGATATATCTCGTGTTTTTTACAAAGACCAACGAAAGAAAGATGGAAGCGACCTCGAGCCAGACACAGTCTCCAGTTTCCGAAATACTCCAGCGTTACATTGGCCAGCAAAAACTTACAGTGCTCTTAGTGTTGACCGAGAAAATTTTTCAACATGGTGCATTTGATTCCACTTTAACGGAAAGCCTAGTTAATGTGAGCCGATAAAAACTTTTCTTTTTTGACTCCTGTCAAATGACTGTCAAATCGTGCGTGTGTCCTGCACTTGCTTCCTGTTCCCCAAACAGGAAGCCATATAATAAACATCTTATTAGCCTCGTTTTCTCGTACTGCCTTTTAAATAATAGATCCTCGTCTTTTCCATCGATTAACGGCCCAAGCGCGAAGCCAGTCCGTAATTTAGAGCACGGACCGAGAACTCGGCCAATAAAAGGTATTTATTCCCCGAATGGGGGGTGGAACAAGTCATGTATTTCCTTTCAAAAACGTTATTGTTGCAGAGTTTAATTAATTTGCAGCTGATTATCAGACTCTTTCGTTTGATTTATTTCGGTGATGAACTCTTTCAAGAAGTGTGGTCCAATATTTTCATGTTGATTTGGTTTATGATTAATTTGACATGCTTCATGGTTTTATATGTGAATTTCATAGCCGAGGCTTCCTTAGCGTACTATAGATAATAAAATAGTTTCATTATTGAATGGAAAGAGTTGGTTTTAATAAGATGTAAATATACTATTTTTTTAGACAAAGAGCAGATTGGTGGTAAAAGACGGAAGGTGATTCCTCATTTCTCAGACTATTTTAAAGGGAGAGACAGTGGCCCAAGCAGCGTCGGTGATACTGGTGGAGTAGAAGTATTTGATAGTTTTGCATCCTTTGGCTCAGTTCCAGTCCTTGTTTTGATGGATTTTCAGCCTCGTAATCAAGGTGAGCTAAACAGTAACTTTTTATGAACAGGATGAAATCTGACGTTGTTTTCTCTGCAAGCGGAACCATGGCACGTTTAAAATTTTCGACCCCTTTTTCCCTCGTTGTCACTTAAAAAAACAGATTCTATGTTACCTTGCGTCTTTCTAGTAACAGATCACAGATGATGTCAAAATGTAGGAAGAACAGAAAAGTGGTCACCAATGTTTTTCCATCTTGCAGCTACCGAGTTTGGTCATGCTAAGCAGCTTGGCCCCTGTATTCGCCGTTTCGATCCAGAGGCGGGAAATTTAAGTGGCCATCACACAATCAACGCGAAATTGAGGGAGGGTCAACTCAGCAGGATCTAAAATGGGGTCTCACGATACTTGATACTTTTAAACATACACAGGACGAAAAATCAAGTATCCGTAAACTTAAACGTGGCAGAAACACGTGACTCCGTTGCGGAAACACAGCGGCAAACGCGTGTTTCCGTTAGCGGATACATTACGGTTTCTCATGTTTCCGTCGCTGTGTTTACAACGGAATATACAATCTTTGGAGGATAACTGCAAAAACGAATTTATTCGTGCTCATTATATTCAACCGTGCTCAATAGATTCAATTATTGTTATTATTATTATTATTATTATTATTATTATTATTATTATTATTGGTGTCGAGTCTAACCTTAATAACAATGCAGTGCGTAAAAAAGAAAAATATCTGAACTTGATCAAAGAAATAAGTAGAAATTACAGATATGTGAAATTTGTAAATCTCTCCATGAGCTCCCTGGGCGTTTTCTCCGATGAATGCTCCACGTTCTTAGATACGATGAATGACATTGGTATTGACAAAAAGCAGCAACTTCATATAATCAAGAAAATGATAAAAATAGCTATTAGAGCAACATATTACATCTTTTGTTGTAGAAATAGGAATTGGGATAGCCCAGACTTAATGCAATTTTGATTTCTTTTCTTTTCTTTTTTCTTTCTTTCTTTCTTTCTTTTTTTTTTTGAATAATCCAATCTAAAGAAGCATTTGTAAATTGCCTATACGTAGCGAGATTTACAATTGTACATTCGAAAACACAAATAAAGTTTCCGTTATTGTTATTATTATTAGTAGTAGTAGTAGTATATACACACTCAGTGATCTTGGTGATTTAAGCAATCTGATTGGTTCACTATCTCGGACTATTCAACAATATTCACCTCCTAGCGAGTGGATAATGTGTGAGCTTGGTGTTTTTCCCATTTTTTTAGAGAATGATCTTTTAAAACTCGACAAAATCCTAGGGTTGACACTTTTTAAGGCAAAAAAAGACTTCGAAGGATTCAAAACGACTTTTTTCCATTTACTATAGCTGAGTTTTGACCCGGGGCCCGGGTCAATAACCAGAGTTCAATACCATTAACTGACGTGATACAACTCACTTTGACTCTGAAGATGACTACCGCACAACCGCATAGGTTGTCGAAACGTCAGTCACTGTCAAAAGGAGAGACTATGCTGTCAACAATAACGGTCCCGTTCAAACCTACGTTCACCTGGACGATCATACTCAACCTACTTATGAAGTACTCCAGGGTTCAAACATTTCACGGAAAATTAAACAGTCGTTATTAAAATATTTTGTTGTTTGCTTTGAGGCAGTTGCGCGTGAAATTGATGACTTTTCAAATAATCGATTAAAATATGCGGACGTCTCAGGAATTAGACTTCCGTTTAATTACAACCTCTAAAAATAACTTAAGTGAAATTCACATATCCCGGACAACGCACTAAGATTCCCTGTCTGTCCCATTATTTTCTCTTGATCCTATCAATATGTAGTTTGTTAATATTCTCTTCACTATTTTTTTATTATGTTTTTTCGCCATTGATCATCAAAGATTATTCATTGAGGAAACGACACAGGAGTTTTACGCAGCACAATAACCAGTAAAGGTGGAGCAGTGGTTGGCGGAAGTGTCAAACTAACTTTCCCGCCGGGAGCTGTCGACAATTCCATGTCTGTGCACTTAACATTTGAGGACCCTTCCAAGTTCTATGGACATTTAGTCCTTAAGGATCTTGAGAATGATGTCATGTTTGGCGCTCCCATTATCAAGCTCGAACCCAGTGGTACATATTTCAACAAGCCTTTGACGTTGACAAGCGAGTTAAACATGAATTTTAATCGGCATGACGTTCTCATATTGCACGGCTCAAAGACTGGTGGCGAAAAGATCACCTGGCAAGACATCACTCACAAGTCAAAGATCAACGAAGCAAACACAAAAGCAGTTATAGTAATTGAGCACTTTTCAATCATTGCAATTCTGTACAGATTGAGCAGATTAACTCTGCTTCACACCAAAGACATTGTATCAAGGCTCAACCTTCTAGCATTTAACTACACTTTGTCAGTTTTGGTCAAGAAGAGCAATCCCTCTTCAGTGTATGACGAACTTGCCTTATTGTTTGTTAGCCAAGACATCTACCAAGAGCAATTCTATAGAGAAGACGAGACGTCTTCTGCTTTGATGAAATTAAAGAAAGAAGGGTTCTTAGAGCTGCATGTACGCCCTGGTCAGGAAGAACAAAAGAGCATATACAATAATGAAACACTTCAAATTTATGTTCGAGTTGGAGAAGACTACAAAATAGCCGACAGTCAGCAAGAAAGTACAAGTTTCATCGTCCATTCTTATGATTGGTGGCATGAAGGAAAGGTTTTGAGAATTTCTCTTGAATGGAATAAAGATGTCAGAATTCTGTGTGGGAAGGTCAGTGTACGAGGAGAGTATGGACATGCAGATGAGAGTCATTTCAGCGAAAGAGGTAAATTGGGTAGTCTCAGCTAATAAACATGATAATTTACTTTAAGTGTTTAGATACCAATTGATTGAGTGATCCAAACCTGCTGATGCATCTTTTTTTTTATAGAGGGCGCAACTGTACACAGGCTAATAAATTCATAGTATGTCCGCCTCGCTGTCTGTTTCCTCCTCGCTCCTCGTATGTGGTGGTGGATGTGGTGGGAAAAAACGGAAATGTGGTTGTGGAGGTGGTGGACGAAAAATAATAGAAATAAGCATTGTTTTTAGTTTCCTCTTGAGGCCATAACAATGCTTATGCAAACTTTTGGAGGGACAAGCAAAGAGCATTATGGTATGTCATGGTGTTTTCTGGAGTGGTCAATTGAAATGTTGTGATGGTGGTGAAAGAAGCGTGAAATCACTGAATTATAGGGGAGAAAAAAGGGGTTGCGGAAAGTAAAAAGATTGTTTGGTGCTAGAAAGAGCTAGTTTGCCTTCCCACTCGTTGTGTGCCACGAATCAGTGAACTGGAACTTAAACAATTTGTTGGACAATAAAAGAGGCAGGAAATAGACCTTACATAAATGCGTTACGACTTAGTGATTTAAAGTCATAGGCGACTTAGCGCTTATTCCTTCGACAACACGTATCAAACGATGAGTACTTTTCTTGGGTTTTTTCGTCAACCAATCAAAAAGCAAGAAATTAACCAACGTGGAAATAATTTGTAAACAGGAGCGCTTACCATTTGTACGAAATTTCGGTGAAAAATTTCAGTCAAATGGTACTGGTATTTTTTTGGCACCGAAAACAGGAATGGGATTGAGTTGTACCATTTACAAAATACCAGTAAATTTTTCGCTCTCTCTCGCCATGAAGCCTGGCACTAGTAATCCAGACAAATGGTGAAGAAAATTTCAGTCGTTTCGGTAAAAACGGGAAAAAGGTAATACCTCGAAAGGTATTACCTTGTGTTTTTGGGAAATTTCCACCGGGATTAACCGTTCCATTTCAATTCTCCCCGGAATTTCCGGGTTTTCCATACAAATGGTAAGTGCTCCCTGTCTAGTGGGTTGAACTACCTACCAATAGCGCGTCATATCCAAATGAGGTTTCCCCACAATTTATTCATGAGGTTAAAATAAAGAGGCTATGGCCGTACCCACATTGATATATGGTAGCAGACATGTTCCCAGGTTCCCTCTTCTACCGTTGGAGAGAACCGTGGGAACGAGGGTGATATGGTAGCGCAAGTTAACGAGATTCCATGTCAACAAAGAGGCCTAAAACATTCCTATTATACTACTGTGTTTAGTTAAAAAGAGCACCTATTTGATTCGAAACTCGAAATGGGGTCCAACCAAACTGTAAATTGAAATCAAAGTTAAGAAACAATTTAGACCATACCTTTGCTAGGTTGTTTGAACTAACAAACTAGTTGAAACTCTACCTTATCTATACGTGTACGTTTTCATCGTAACAAGATAAGTCATATCAAGAGCGATTATCTCCGCAATTAGGAACTTTAATTCACCTTACCACGGCTTTAGTTACCGTAGGAAATGCCCTTCAACGTGGTCTGTGTAACCGTATTGTCCAAAATGTGTCTTGCTATGGCAGTAAAAAAAGGTCTATATTAGCAACTATTGAGTGAAAATTGGAAGCGCATTTCTAATCTCATAACCATGCATTTTCTCAACAGAACTGTGTGGTTATGTAAGGAGCCTGTTAGATGTAGAGGGTGCCATTTTTAAGGTTGTTCCAATTGCAGAGTTGCTTGAGATGCCTGGAGAATGCATAAATCGCCTGACAAAATCTCAGAAGGACGAGAACGAACAACTGGAAATCATTTTGCAGCATTGGTCGCAAACGAATAACGTGGTGAAAGATCTTGCCGCTCTCAGAAAAGACCTAGAGAGATTAAAACAAGAAGGTTAGTTGTCCCAAGGTTCCCTTTTGTTTGACAAAGGCGCGAAAGCTACGGATATCCGGACGATTTTAGAAGAAATATACCTGAGTTGTTGATGGGTAACCAGAAATTAGGTGGTAAAGTAGTGCTTGGATACGCTATTCGAAGAAATTTTTGCTAAAAATTAGTGAAAATGTAACGACATTTCGCTAAAAACTAATAACGAATAACAGACGGAATAGTGCAAGGCAGCACAAGAATACTGGGGTCATATTCACAGAAATACTGTTACGTGTCAATAAAAGTAGTTAAAAGTTTAAACAGCCAGTTTATTTTGGTTAAATAGAGTTTCCCTTGTTATTCATTAAACGTTGGCAAATTGAGGTTGTTGAAGTAAATGTTGGGAGTATATCCAGGCTAAGGCCCTGTTTACAAGGAGGGAGGGTAACCCTGGTGCTAGGGTTACCCCAGCAAGATGGTTTTCCTAGCACTCGCACATTTCTTCTTTTTTTACACGACATGTTTACAAGGCAGGTAGGGTTACCCTAGCGCTAGGGTAACCCTACCTGAATGCTAGGGTACCCTTGCAAGAGGGTTACCCTACTTGCCTTGTAAACGCTCTGCTAGGGATAACTCGCCTACCCGGGACAACTTTCCTCCGTCATGTGTGACCAGTAATCGTGACAATTTGAACGGAATTTTTCAATTTCTGAGCTAAATTGTAAACATCTGAACAATATAAGGTATTTTCTGTATACGATGATGATATTTTCCTGTTTTTTCGTGACTTTAACGTGTCTTCAATTGAGAACTTCAAGTTTTATTTAAATTCTTGGACGTTACAAAGCATGTCACGCACGACGAAACACGTCAGTAAAGCTGGTAAAGTTGACCTGGGTGTTGCTTGTAAACCAGAGCTAACTTAAACCCGCTTGCAAGGGTAACCCTAGCACAAGGATAACCCTCTCTCCTTGTAAACAGGCCTTAAATAACAGCTCTAGATTTGAGTTCATTGCCTTATGGGTCGTTTTTATACTAGAGGACGCATTATCCGTCTTGACTGGTAATGCGTCTATGGCCGTTTTTATACTAAGGACGCATTATCCATCTGGACGAACTTGGGCAAACATTTTTAGTTCGTCTGGTTATGCGTATGAAGTATAAAGACGGCACAAGACGCGTTATGCGCCTGGACGAACTTTCCTTCGAAATACGCCTTGAGCGACGCATCACGAAAGAAGGTTCGTCTGGACGCATAATGCGTCTTGTTCCCGTCTTTATACTACAGACGCATAACCAGACGAACTACAAAATGTTTGCCCTTTTTTGTCCAGACGGATAATGCGTCCTAAGTATAAAAACGGCCATTCTCCACTGAATGTTTTTCGTCGTTGTCATTAGCTTACAGAGTAACACAAAGAGGACAGATGCATATCAGGCAGTTAAGGCAAGTTGCAACCAAGATCTTGGGCTTACAATACATGCATGATGATTCACAGAACTATTTCATTCGCAATATCTCATCCAATCCATCGATAATCACTGTCCACTTCCTCAAGAAATGAAGAAACGGTACCAAGAGGTTTGTTCGTTGTCTGAAGAATCTACCATCAAAACCTTCCTAATTATTGTCCCTTACCTTATTCAGAACATAAAAGATATCTTTGTTGACCAGAGGATGTCAGACGTTCCCCAAAACGGCCTGAGAGGACTGACTAAGGAAACACTAGATACGTTTGTGTCCAGTGTACGGACGGCCGAAGAAAACAACGGAGTTTCTGAGCTGTTTCGTGATTCTTGCAACATTCTCCAACGACTGTGCATGGAAAACTACGACAAGGAGCCAAACACAGAAATTGAAAAGTGGGGCGAAAGTTTGGCAATGTTATCCATGCTTAACTATTTAAAGCCGTTTTTCCAACACTCTTGTGAGGACATTAGATTGTATAAGAGACTAGAGCTGTTTTCCTGCTGCCTAAGAGAAATCATTGCTGATCGTGATTACGTTGATGAAGTTTTGGTGCACTCGTCGTGTAATGTTTTAATGAGTCTAATTCATTTTGCAAAATTTGACCCGTCAAAAGTGGTGAGATTTGAGTTAAGTGTCTTCTCTACTTGTGTTCCTTGCACTTGTCTCCGTGAGACCATAAAGCACGACAAACTGGAAAACACATACTCTCAGGTGTTTCGTATCAAGAACGAAGGAGACGAGCTTCGGCTCCATGCAGCAGCAAGTGTATACATCGACGGAGAAATTGTGAAGAAAGGAAAAGGGACATTCCAGGCAACGATCACCCTAAATTAGGACTTTTCGTATTTTTTCTTTCTGCGACCTACGTCGACCCCACGTAGTCTACCAGGCTGCAAGATACAAAAGCCGTGCATTAAATGGAATTTCACATATAACTTTCCTAGGTTTGAGCCAAGAGCATTTGTCAGAGAGCAGTTCTGCACGAGAAAGCAGTATGAACGCTCCACCATCTGACATGCAAATCTTTGTTAAGATGATGGATGGAAGAATGATGACAATAATAGTGAACCCGAGCGATTACATCAGGACTGTGAAGGCCGTTATCCACCAGTTATGCCTGTGCCCACCAGACTCACAACGTCTTGTATTTGCGGGCAAGAGACTAGAAGATGATCACAGTCTGAGTTACTACAATATTCAGAGTGGATCAACTCTGCACTTGGTCCAAAGACTTCGTGCTTGTTAGCGCCTAGTGAGTAGTGGTAGTGCCTTCTTTCCAGAGTCCCTTGATCTAGTGGTCGTGGATGAAATATTGCGCCGTCCCCCACAATCTGAACGCATGGACCTGGCTATCGATGCCAGATAGAAAATAGCTACTGGTAGTCAAACAATAGTACCAAGCTACTTGGACTTACGATAAGCAACAACAGTTACATAGAAAGATAACTGAAGTCAGTATGAAAGCTAGTAAGAAACTATACTTTGTAGAACATTGAGAGAGGCCGGACTGCTATGCATGAACCCAAAAGTTTAAGACGGAATCCAACAGGAAATTGAGTACATGTAATTTAAATTTTCAGTGGACAAAATCCTTTTACCAGAATAATTCAAACAATATCGCATTCTTTTATACATTTTTCAAGGGCTATAGATATAATTAGTTATCTGTAACTAAACACCAAAGACTATTTCTCATGGGAGCCCGAGAAAATAAATGTCAAATTTTACAAGAATTGTGAAAATTCAGGTTAAATTCTGAAAATTTTGATGTGTAAGGTGCCATTTTGTGAAATTTGACATTTATTTTCTCGGGATCTCATTTTATACATCATAGTCTCCTTTTTGTCTCGTCACGCAACGCTAGAGACAAAAACGGTTGCGGGGGAGACAACAATTTTAATCCTAGAACCTTGAAGACCATGTGATATCCTAAACTGAGATACAAAATTTTTTTACTACCGTTCCAACCCCTTGATCTTTCTACATGGCCGCACTTCACTTCCAATATGAGACCTCTTGTGTAAAGAGCGTATCACCAATCGATGAACATTTGATATTCAGTGATCATACATGAAGGATGTAATGGCGGAGCGAGGTTTATTGACGAGTTACCAGTAAAGCCAAGAATAAAAATAAAACGAGAAAGGACAACTAACTGTATGAAATTGAAATTCGCGAGGTCGATAAAGAGAAGAAAAGGATCAAAATTCACTACAAAAAGTTTTAGCGAAGATACAGATAAGTGGCGTGACTATGGTTCTTTATTTGACCTCAAAGGATTTCACACTGTCTTCACCTTCTACGCCTCAACTTCATTATAGTAAATTTTGAATTGATATTTCGGTCCGGTTTTCCATCCGTTCAACAACTTTGCCAGTGATTGTCCTCCTGCCTTACTTGCGCGTCTATAAGCCGTTTGCAGCACTGAAATCTTCTTTTTGAAGACGTTTAGAATACGGCTGTTAAGTCTTTTAACAACAACATCGTCAACACCAGGTTCTTCAAAAATTCTTTTCACCGACACGACAGCGGCTATGGCGGACTCGTAACCGATTTCTGCGTTTTTATTCCCCTTGCCATAATGTATAAATGAGAAAGCTGAAAGAAATAAAATGTAGACCCCGGCAAGTTAATATTATAGGAAATTACTGACTCAAAACGCAAATCTGATTTTAACCTGACAATATTTTCACGGCTGGTATATAGTACCTTTGTATCAATTCACATCCTAGGCCTCAATACCTGAGCCAAACCTTCAAACGGAGATAAAAGGTTCACAGAATTACAATAATATTAATTGGCACACTTACTTGTTCATTCCGTGTCGGAATGAAGGAACCGTTGCTTCCCGTACCATCCGGATTGTCAATTGCTTTGCTGCCCGGTATTAAAGACAGAACCAACGGTAGCAAAACACGCGACCCGAAGTAAAACTTCAGGGCCATGGGTCCGTGGAAAAATCTTAAGCAATATTGATGAAATTGGTACCGAAACGCGCGGAATATTGTACATTTTTCAAATCTGGTGGTAACTGAGCGATCCCAGTATGCGTTAGGAAGCTATGCCTCAGTTTTCCCCATCCGATCTATTTTTACCCCTTCTGGGCTTCATAAAAACACTCAACTTGTCAAAAGTAATCACCAAAGTGACAAAGTCCGTGGATTTTTTTCAGCAATCGACAACAAAACAAAGGAAAAGATATGTGTTAAACGTGTAATTTTCGAATTCCGGAGGTAACTTGTCATGAATCTTCAAACAAAAAGACAACGAAAGGAAAAACTACTATTTTTCAGGGGCACCCAACGGGAATATGGTTCAAAACCACTTAAACATAGCATTGTTAAACGTATTTTAGTATTGAAACAGTAGATATAGGCATATTTTTATCCCCTAAGAATTTTTCATCTGTTCGGATTTCCTAGCTGAAAGTCTAGTGATCCGAAAATTATAGGGATCCAAACTTACCTTTTCGAAAATTTCGGCCAGAAAAAGGCTGACCTTTTAAGGGTAAAAATCCGTTAAAAATGGGCAATTATAGTAGTTTTTAGCTGTTTGAACATCGTAGGAGAGGCAGGCAAGCAAGAAATTTTACAACAGATGTTCCGAAAATACTAGATCTCAAATCGTCTTCCGAACAGATATTTTCCGAAAATTGTCGTTGGGTGCCCCTGATTTTTACGAATATTTTGACCGAGATCTACTGTGGGCGTGATCACTGGAAATATGAGAGACCTTTTGTTAACAAGGAGTTTCATAGGATGCGTCTGTTAGCTGATGATACTTTGATTTACAGCACTATTGAATCTTATAATGATGCCGCCAAACTTCAATCAGATCTAAGCAGCACTTAAAGAATAGGGCCGGAAATGGCAAATAAAATTTAACCCCACTGAAGTGCAACGTTCTAGGAATATCCCGTTGAGTCTTACCCCGGGAGGGGGGGGGGGGGGGACCCCCCCCGATTTTTGGATGGGGGGGGGCGGGGAGGGTTGGGGAACCCAAACCCCTTTTAAGGATAAGAAAAGGGAAAAAGGAAACCTTTTTTAAGGCCCAAAACCAAAAAAGACACCCCTATCCAAGAAAAAAAAAAAATTATAACAGCTAAAAAAAGAGGGGCGTAAAATGAAAAAAAAATGTGACCCCCGTGAAGGGCGACGGTGTGGGGATCACCCGCTGGGGTTTGGCCCGGGGGGGGGGGGGGGGGGGTACTCCCTCGAATTTTGGATAGGGGTGTGCCGCGAAGGTTCGTGAACCCTAACCCTATTTAAGGACTAAGAAAGCGAAAACTGATACTCTTTTTAAGGCCCAAAGCCGAAAAATGACACCCTATTCAAGGAAAAAACGAAATTATTAATAGCATGAAAAGGAAACCTTTATTTCTTCTCTATAACATTGGATGTATAGAATCAAGCATAAAAGGCGTGTTTTCACACTCCAACATTAGATAATACAATTAAGCTACCCTATCCAAGGACCACACCAGGGACACAGAAACAAAAGGGTCAAAAAAGGTACCCTATTTAAGGACCGAGAACCTCAAAAACCATACCCTATTCCGCGGCACGTACCAATATAGCCCATATGTGGGAGTACCCACCCGGGTCTTACTACGTCCTTATGAGAAAAGTTTTAGATTCGATCACCCACCACCCCTATCGAGGCGTAGGATTGTCCAGAAAGCTTGATTGGAGCCAGCATGTAAATAACAAAATCATGAAGGCGAATAGATCACTCGGATTTCTACGGCAAAACCTTAGCAGTTGCCCCGAGGGAGTGAAAGAGGCAGCCTACAAAGCGCTTGTGAGACCGCACGTGGAATACGCCAGCTCAGTTTGGGACCCACACTTAAAAAAACACTTCAAACAAATAGAGGAAGTACAAAGAGGAGCCGCGCGCTTCGTCAAAAATTGTTATACACGGGAACTAGGAACAGTTACCATCAGCCTCTTGACCGAGTTAAACTAGATACCGCTGAAGGTGCGAAAAACGATCTCGCGGTTGTTCCACAAAGCAATTCGTGGTGATGGCGGCCTGGCTTTCCCAGACTATGTTATGAAGCGCAGCAGACATTTACGGAACTCTAGCCAGAACAAGTTTATTGAACTGCTACTAAATACTGAGACTTATAAGAATAGTTACTTTTGTAGAACTGTCAAGGACTGGAACGCGTTACCAAGCGAAATTGTTAACAGCAAGTCCACTGATCGATTAAAAAAAGTCTTATTTGAGCATTTTAGTCAATGATCAATTTTAATGTTGTATAATAATTAATGCTATTATATTTTTATTCATTATATCTTTTTGTAAGAGATTTTGTTATTGCTATCATTATTTACTTGTTAACTTAATTTTATTTTATTTAGCTAGACGTCTTCCGTGATGGCATCCCTATTGCAAGACTAGAAATTTTTGAATAAAGGTTGAATAAACGGGTTGAAGATCATTTCGTTTACCTGTTTTGTTTCAAGGCAGCGACTGTGAGATAAGTTCAATGATCTATAAACTGTAAAAGGCTAGTATTCATTGAGTTATGACACTTTGCGCTTAAGGGATAATGCTTTTCGGGGAATAATTTAAGCTTGTGGGTCATTAGGCCGCGGGCGGTCCTCCTTGGTTCCTCAGAGCCATGAGCGGCGAGCGAAAAGGGAAAGTTATGCAAATTTTAAAATGGCAAAAAAGGAAGAGAGATTGGGGCCTCCCCACTCGCTCCTTGCGCGTTCTCGCATTTTACCTTGACTCAAAAGACTGCTCGCAGTCTAGTAGGTCATTGTTGTTAAGCTTACTTAACTCAGTGAGCCTGAAATATAAGCTTAAGCTTATATGGAGGTGGGTTGTGTTTCATAAAGCGTTTCCCAAAAAGATGTCAAGTCGGTGTGTGACATTGGATAAAGAATGGAACATAAATAACTTTGTAGATTAAAAACAATGGATTCCGGCACATAAAAGTCTACCCAATAGAGCTGGTAGTTATAATCATTACATGAAGGCTGCTGAGTTGGGGGGAGGGGCATGCTGTTGTTTTGTTGGTCATTTTTGAGACTGCAAGTCACCTGGTTGGTCAGGAAAAATTACGCTGTCAAATTTTAGCTTGAACTCTTTAGCAACATTTGGCCTTCTCTTTGAGTATTTGATAAGCTTGATCCTTGATCGATGGTTGACATTTTAAATACAGTAACAGATGAGAGAAAACAGAACAGTTTAGAGAATGATATGGTTGGCTTTGTTTTCCCTTTGGATACATGTGAGCTATTATGTTGCATTTGATTGACAGGTTTCTGTTCTCAGCCAATTAGACATTTCTGTCTGCACAGTGACCAAACCATTAAAAAAACCATAGGCTTCCGGCAGGCTAGATTTCAAAGCATCTTCTCCCCATTCAATGCAAAGCTTTGCAGCTCCTCTTCCAACATTACTTTCCTTGCGTGAACGATCTCGCTGGTGACGCAGGCTATCAACATTTGTTTTCGTCTGGGTTTCCTGGAAAAGCATTATCGCCGATCAAGAATTGAGGATATGTGTTTGTATTCTTTTTGTTTTCTTTGCTGTAACATAATTTGATTAGCTATATGCTTCATTTTGACGGGAAAACATTCGGGGAAATTAAGCTTTTAGAATTGTAGGACTACTTGGAAAAAAGTGCAGGTAGGTAGTGGAATAAGATTTTCATTGGAATTTGTGGGCAAACTCATGTTGTTGTTGTTGTTTTTTTTCATGTTCGATTCTTTCTCTGGTCTCTTTTACTGAATCCTCTTCCCCCTGTTTAAGTAAGATGACAAAGTTGTCCTTGACCATTAAAACTAAAGATGTCACAAGCAGTACTAGGGTAGTGGAGCTGAAGGGGCAGTTAAGGTGGTTCAGGACAATATACTCATGGCCTTGTGGCCAGAAGGTTGTGGTCTTCTCTTGTTAAACTTTGAAGTCTGATGTTTTGGCATTGATGAGTACTGTTGAGTTTAGGAAATATTTCAGTGTCCAATCCAGACAGGCGTTCAAAGAGGTTTGATTTGCTTGTTCTATGAAATGAGTTATAAACAAGGATGCGGAAAAGCTCTGGTTGTTCTTTCTTGCGAACACCTTGCTATTTCAGAGCTGACACACCACTAATGCAGACTGTGCATCTCTGAAGTCTGAAGATATCTCACCAAAATGTTTTGACTAATCTTATAACTGGTGCCTGGACACCCGAAATGAACCATCAACTTTTGTGGTTTTTAAAAGAACTTACCTTGAGTTCAATTATTTTGCCAGGCCCGGTTCATAATGATCACGAATTGAACCTTCATATTTCATCACTTAGCATTTAAAGTACAGAGGCCAACGTCGACCCCGTGGCAGTGGAACCATCTCCTGCTACTTTGGCAACCAACTCAGAGAGACAGATAGGTGAACAACTAAAATAAAGCTTTTTAATGGATATATCGACCCCAGAATATCTATTTGACGTATTTGCATTACGGGTGCCACCCACTACATACCAGGTAAATATCTTAGTACATGTATATTGCAGGGCTTCTGACTTTTGTGATAACATAGTGGGATTTTGCACAATTATTGATCTGAAATTACTTCTGAGCACATTATCCATAGGAAATTTTATAATCTTGATGATAATCGTAATCTGGACAAAATGTGATCTTCTCCAGGAAAACATACACTAATGGTTTTCTGTTTAACGGGTTAAAACGACAGTGACGAACAGCTTGTTAACGACTTTTCTAACGCCTTTAACGGGTTGGCTAATGCTTTGAACGGATAAGTAAAAATTTCTAACGACCTTTAAAAGCGTTAATACTATCAAGTATGGAAAACATAGTTTCGGCATAGTTTGTAAGGTACACAAGACCTTTTATTTGGTCTAAACTGCATAAGTCCATCAAATCGGCAGAATCCGCAGTGAGCGCCTTTAAATGAAAAATAAGAAAGCTTGACCTGACATATATCACATCCAATCAATGTAAAGATTGTAATTTATGTAACAATTAGATGCCACTGTAGCTTCCCCTGGTTAATAGTTTGGCTAAATATGTCTCGTGATGGTACGTAGACTATGATAGATAATTGAGCGTAAAATTGAAGCGAATGGGAGGGATTTTATTTTTTATTAGTTTGTATTCTTTGTATTTCCAATATTTCTTGATATTCTTAGTTACAACTTATAGATATTTGAGCTTAAACTGGAAACGGATGGAAGGGGTTTTCTTCTTATTGGCTTGTATTCTTAGTTCTCCTTGATAGGCGTCTCCAATTAGTTTCTTGTAAACTAGAACGAAATACACGTTAATAACACCTTAATTTTCCTAATGACAATAACTGTCATTAAAAAAATTCGTCATTTTAATTAATTTTTATTATTTTTGAACGTTCCTAACCGGTGGGCTAACGGCTTCAAGAAGTAACGATGTAAGGGTTTAAGAGAACATCGACAAAAATCAAACGCTTTGAGTAACAGTTCAACAAAAAGAGTTTCAACGACTATTACACAATTTCGTGGGGTGGCTAGAAAACACAGACCTCGAAAACCCAGACCGCAGACAGCAGATCTTGAAAACGCGGACCTCGAAAACGCAGACCTCGAAAATGCAGACCTCGAAAACACAGACCTCGAAAACGCAGACCGCGAAATTACAAGTCATATTTAAGGCTTTAAGACCTACACATTTGATGTGTTTTCCCTATATTTTTTGGCTACTGGCGTGCCGAATTTGCTTCTTTTCTTCGCTGTATGATGTTTAACTACATTGGGTTCGGGTACGGTGCGAATATGGCTGGGCAGGCAACAGTTGAACGCACGCTTCTTTTGTTGATCCCGGATTGCGTGATGACCAGTCACGACCAGTATTCAAGCACATCGCTCTTGTTGCCAGTCGCACAGGACCCAGAAGCGCGGGCAAATTCGTCACTCAATGCTTCACGTGACTGAGAATAATCGAAAAATAAGATAGTTATCTGATCTGGTCATCCTGCCCTGGATTGGGTTATTTTCGCACTCTCTCTTTATGTATCAGAAAGGGTAAAGAAGATGTTCTTCATCTATCACTGCTTTTAGGGTGTCTTTCTGTGGTCTCCTGTTATATATCCCCCCACTCAGTTTTTTAAAGCTAAATACATGTCTTTTGTTTTGTTTAGTGTTTTTTCATTTTTATTGTTGTTCTCATTGAAATCACCCGGCGTTTTACTACTGAGTTTAACTTTTATTCAATGAAGCACTGAAGTAAAATGCGGCGAAGCGTTCGTTTAAAAAGGCAGTGTTGACAAAATGCAATTTCGTTGGACAGGCAACAAGGAGCAACAATGAAAACAGCCATATTCGCACCGAACCCAAACCTAATATAGTTGAACATCAAACAGCGATAAAGAAGCAAATTCGGCACGCCCGTTCCAGAGTCATTTTCCGGCCATCCCGGGAAGGATGACATGATTATGTCCATTCCCACAAGCGACATTTCCTGGAAACAGCCTAACGTTCTGGTTCGGCACATCAATGTCTAAATTGACAGCTGAATTGACGATGTCATATCTCAGTATACTTTCCAGTGTAGGTACGGTTATTAGCAGTCCATTCGCCAGCTGATCACCATCTAGAAAGCGAGCGTTCGGGATATTGTTTCCAATCACGGCAAAATTCCGGACGTTACCATTTAGATGCACACAACAGCCAGCAGTCCACATTAAATTGGGAATAACTACACTATATCGGGAGGATCATTCCCATCTACGTGTAGTCGGTCAATTGGTTGAAAAACTGGTTGAAGCCCACCGTCGATTTTCCAAACCTGAGTAAATGCAGTGCCGGTTAAAAGATACAAAGTGCCGGTACACCGCAGCGCATAACCTCGTATACTCCCCTCAATCCTGCTCCACCTACCTCTGTTAAAATATGGAAATTGTGGCACGGCGTTTGTATATGTGTAGGTGGAAATAAATCGATTGATGGTACTAGAAAATGTATGTCCTGGGACCAAATGACCTCTGTCATATCCTTGACCCTGGTATAGCAGCTTGCTACCTTGTCTCTGGATTCCTTTGTATTTTAGAAAAGAATTAAAATTAATTTGCTATCAAGAATAGTTCAAAGTTTATCTACCTACACATTCCACTCACAACTAGGCACTATGCCACTATGAAAATGTGTTAGTCAGGAGACCTAAAGGATAGATAGTAAATAGATCAAAGTTTACTTGAAAGATACTATGGTTGTTGATTAGAGTTTTTAGTCATGAAAAGGGCAACGACACTTTTAGTGCGTTTCTCTGTCACCATTGCACGACTACAAGGTGAAATGGCAGTGATGCGACGTTGTAGTGAGTATGGAGGACGTAGCCACACGGCGGAGAATTTTTCTTTGTCATTCTGAACTTAAACATAGTCTATAACAATTAAACCAACACTTGAGAGAGTTGGAATAATCCCGAACGCGCATGCATCCGCTCAGTGTGAGTGACACTTTCTCTTCTGTCATCGTGTTGCTATCGATTAAAACTCCTTACTGACGTCATATGATGTAAAATCACAAGAATAATAAATCACTCATTTTTTTTTCTTTTCTCCGTATTTTCTCAGTCAAAAATGTTTCAGCTGCGACGTAACAAAGGCAAGCCCAATTCAGAGGCCCTATTTTTATGAGCCGTTTTAATTCTAAACGGTCAATTAATTCTGCGGCTCACAGGGTGCAGAGGAGTTATTTGTAGCCTTGATTGTTGATTGCATTCTCGACCCCAGTGCTTACGGGTTTGGGAATGCGCACGTAAGCTCTCTTGATCTATCTCCTCTACATGCGCAGAGAAGCTCTGGGTCGAGATTGTGTTGATTATAGTTAAATTTTACGGTTAATACCACGCATCACCTTTGTTTTTGCACTGTAGAATCAAGCAAACCGTCATTCGATCTTCTTATCAACCTAGCAAAGATCTAATGCTCAGGAAAACCGCTGAAAGTAATGACTGGGGACGAAAGAGTCTCTTTTTCTTCTCGGCACTTCCGTGCCTAGCTCGGAAAGCTTTGCTTTCCGAATGTGTTCCCTTCGGGCGACTTTCGTTCCCACTGAGCATTAGATAATATTTTACCAGGTTTGTAACACGATCGCATGACCGTTTGATAGGTCGTGTTCCGGTGTATGACATTTGCAGACTGCAGACTGCATACCAGGAGAAAGTAGCCTCGGAACAAGGCAAATCGACAATGGCTCTTTTAACCGGCCAATCATTGCTCGTACCAAGAGCCATTATGGCTCTTGCTTGTACTCAAATCTGGTACACAGGATGGGCCCCGGTAGAATATGGATTTTGGCGCTGTTTCGCAGACACACTTAACCAGAGTTTAGTTGCATCTGTGCAGCAGGCTAAATTGCTAGACTGTTGCAATGGATTTATAAGCGAGTTTGTGACATCGGCAGACATTATTCTGCTCTTTCAATACGAGTAGAACAGCCAACAGCTCCTTTGGCAATGAGGTCGATGTATAAATTTGCGTGCAACATATAAACTTCGCTTCTTGGCCTTACTTCTCATTTTTTTTATAAGCTGGGAACAAGGTAATGTTGATGGCGACGCCACCTTTATTACGATATTTTTGGTTTCATTCAATTTACAGTCTTGCCGGCCTGCAGTCTGCAGTCTGCAGTCTGCAATCTACAAATGTCAGATTGCAGTAAAATTCTCGCTTCGCTTGCTATCACAAATAATTCCGCTGCGCCCTGTGATCGGCTCAGCCGTTCTTCACGTGTCCAGCAAAAATGCTACAGGAATCAAGTACTAGGTAACTAAAGATGTCCTTTAAATTCTCTGCTTCAAAAATCTGGGAAACTGTACTGACTACTTGGCCTCAAGTCTCTGCCATATCATGAGTTTAAGAAAGAATGGAAGTGCTATCTTCTAATCAATCAAATCTGATCTTAGCTTTGCTTATATGTTCTATCACTGATATCATTTGAGCTTTTATTTCCTCTCTTGCTGCTACCAATTATCTGACCATGACGGTGTCCAACAAGAAAGCTATTACTACTTTGGACACTGTACACAAATGAACTTAATGTCTTTTAGCTTAATGATTATTTATCAGCTACTTTGTTCTCCTCCTTACGTACCCTTGTGTAAATGCCTTATATGGTGTGAAAAAAACAAAGATTGCATTTGAAGATTGAAGATTGCCCTTGTTTAAAATTGAGCATATTTACACCACTAGGGATCGACCGCACAATATTTGCAGCATAGCGATCGAAGAACCGGCAACCAGCAATAACAACAATCCAGAAAGATAACGCTCCTAACCACTCAAATTTGCCAGCACGGGTTCCCTGGTAGTTAAGTGGTTCAAGTTCTACCTTAGTTCTCACTTAATACTCGTGAAAAATAAAATTCCTAAAAATCCTCTTAAAATCCCAACAAATCCTTACAAATCGCCAAATTAAATAGTCGTGAAATACGGCTCATGATATTTTTTTTCTTTTTTTTCCCTACATCATGTTAGCAGAAAGGTATTTTACTTTTCACTGAATAGCTTACCTGGGGTTGGACACCAATCGTATGCATCCCTTTGTACAAAATTTAATGTTTGCTGTGTTAGGGTGTAGGCTGAAAACACTGCAATTCCCAAATGTTCATCAAACATTGTGGCATAGTAAGTGTTCTGAGGCTGCTGATTTAGTGTCGCCGGTTGACAGATGTATCTTACGTTGCCGTTTTGGTTTGTTCTTAAACCCTCTGGTGGCATGGTTGTCCGCCTACGAAGAATTGGGTGTAGCAAGGCCGATCAGGATTAAGGAAACCATACGGATCATTCGGTAAAACTCTTCGACTCCCTGAGACATGTTGGATGTTGCCTCCTGTACTGTCGTTCTTACCTCCAACTAGTAAAGGGCCACTCTTTCCTAGAGGTTAAATGGAATGGGAAAAAAAAAAAAGAGAGAAAAAATTAATATTCAGTTTTAGTCACTCGTTTGGGATTTCGTTTCAATTACAGTTGATGTTAACCTAAGGGACTATCGACTCCGAAGGGATGTCTGAAATTCAGGCTTAGTTGATGTATGAAATCAAGAGCCATAATGGGTATATATCACTTAGCCTGTGAACAGGCCTTTGGTCGAGCGGGGAACTGGGGAGAGGGAAAAGCGAAAAGGCATGAAGACAAACATTTGGGACCGCCATTCCACGGCACCCGCTGTGCATCAGATCCTGATGCAAGTTCTTATTGGCGAGAACACTGACTGTAGACAGGTCTGATTGACATCAACTTTTCGGTCGGCACGTAGTACACGATTTGATCACAATTATGATCCACCGTAATTTTAAGCCTTTAAACGTAACAGTTTATAGAGCTTTAGACGTTGACAAATAGATAGGTCTGTTGACAATAGAGTTAAATTTTTAGCCCAATCTACAAAATATTTTCTTCAACTTAAAATTTATTGGTCAGAAACCATAAAGATTATTTATGCTCCATGTTCCTTTAGATAGTATTATTGAGTCTGTTATGGCTGTTGGTGGAGTCTTGCTTTGGGTGAGCTCTGTTTGCTGGGATACCCAATAATGACAATTCCAGTTTGGGATAAATTTGGCCACAAGAGTGGCCGTTTATTTCATTTAAGCATTGTTTTCACCGAATTCCCTCAAAAATCAGCCAATTTATTGTACTTCAATCCAAAGTGGAAAGAGGATCATAAAAACTTTTGCAAGCAATATATTAAAAAAAAAAAACAAGAAAACTTCCAAGAAGATTAATTAAGCGCGAAATACAATTTAAACTGTATAGCTTGTGAGAGAAAAGTGAAACATCTACAAAATAATAACAAGGGCAGAAGAAAAAGAGATTGTCAGCTATTTTCACAACGTACAAACGTGTCCAGTATCATCTATTTATGTAAGCCCTTTTTTATATCAGATACAAAATTTAGTTGCCACTAATAAGTAACTCGGCTCTTAAATACGGTACAAAAGAAATGGACTTTATGGTTAGTAGCGTACCATCACAACTGAAAAAATGTATTTTTTTCATACTTCACTACAATTTCTAAATTTTCCCTTTTTGCAAATACAAGACAAACACTTTTCTAGGCTCGAGCATAACAATTTTCTTACCATTCTCCATTCTCATAAGCGAGCTTTCAGCCGAACTGACACAGGATTTCATCAGGAAAATAATTAGCACGAACGGCAAAACTTTCACATAGAAAGGTTCCATATTAAGTGAGGCCAGAGATTAAAACTGCGTCGAGACTGAAGCTAGGACTAGAGAGCCAGCACTCAGGCAAAATGGAACAAGTTTGCCTAGTTATGAATTTGCTTATGCCCAGCAAATTCAAGACCTCAGCTAATCAAATAAATTTTGTCCAATCACATTGTAGGACGATAATTTCATCTCGATTTGTTCATCATTATACATTCAAAATATTTACTGTTAATGTAGATTTAATTTAAGACACCATGTGATAATGGCGAAGCAGGTCATCAAACATGAATGGAATTTTGCTATTGATGCGTGAAAGCTGCAGATATATAATTTATACGATTGATTTTCCAGAATAAATATCTTAAAGTGTCAAAAATAAGGACTGATCGATCTAAAAAGATGTTTCTGGTAAACAACACTTCTACAGTGTGGAAGAAAACGCTACTGAGAATACGCTATAATTATTCTACCCCCGAATATGTCCTATCACTCATAGGTTCATCAATTTACGGGACAGGTAAAGCTTTTAAAGTACTAAATTTCAAGGCAAAGTGGAATTTCGCTGGTTATTTTCTGACAACTTTCCCTAGAAGCAAACCTAAGCCTCGCTTTTAATCAGTGCAAATACAATCAACTTCCACCTTTCGGGGACCTCGCTTTTACGGCACCCCGATGTAATACGGACAGTAGCTAAATCTCCGGTACAACTGGTTAAGGCGAATTTGAATAAAACACACGCTGGTCTTTTGGGACTCTCTCGCCCCGACTTCCGGAATCCGGAAAATTTTTCTTGCGGAATCCGGAATACAGCTCAAGGAATTTGGCTCCCACTAACGACTGAAATCTACAAGAATCCAAGTTCCAGTGACAAAGAATCGTCCGGGTCCGGATTCTAGTACTTGGAATCTACCAAACTGGGGATTTTCCAAAGTGGACGAATTTCAAGTTCTTGTAACATCTCCCAGTCATATTTCCCTAATTTTGGACATTTGGTATTGAAAGCTCTTTAACCAAAAAACTAACAAAAAGAATACATTTGTTTCTCGGAAATTGTAGTGGTTATGTGGAATCGGGTAGCACAACTTCGTCTCGTCCAATTCAGTCTGTAATCAAACTAGTAATTATAACGAATCGGACTACTACTTCGCGATCGTCTGATTTTGTTAATCACTTGTATGATTACAGACCGAATTGGACTTCACCCAGTCCTTTTACAAATATTAATCGTACTTTCAGGCACTTTTATATAATCGTAGGATAAGATTTATTACGCGATTAGTGAGTTGCGACCACGCTTTTTGACTTGATCGGTCCTAACCAAAATTGTTGTAGCCAAGATGAGCTGTATAAATGAATGTAGTACAATATGAGTGAACTTATATATAAACGATTTGATGGCCAATGCTGTTTAGCGAAAAAACTAAGACACCGTAAGATAACGACGGAGTTGCATGTTTTATTACTTGGAGAGTTTCAAACTCAGTTAACCATGCGTGTTCTGTTGTTTGTGTCGGTTAGAATACATAATAGACCTAATAGGCCCCTCGCGGCAAATTTAAAGTCGTCCTATTCCTTTGTTACGCAAGTTTTGCAGCAAAGAAAAACCAGAAGAGTCACTGGCAGGCGTTCATTTCTTTTGAAAATCAGCAGGGTACTTCTTTATACAACAAACAAACAAATCCATATGCTAACTCTGAGGATAAGCAGGAGCCCATCAAATGGAGCCTCCATCTCCCACACAAGCCCTTGGAGTCAACCCTTTCCCGAGTAGATTTATAATTAGAACAGTTCCCAGGGGAGATCAGACTTCGCGCGCCGACGGTGGGGAGAGCCAATCACAACGACGAAATGACACTGCTATTGTACTTCATCAAACAGCAGGAAATTCGGTGTTGACAGGCCAAACACAATCACAAGCTAGTGAAACGTGACTTTGGCGTTTTCATCCCTCAGAGATTTTCTTTTTTTTTCTTTCTAGCGGGTAGATTATACTGTGGAGAGTTTTAAACTCTGACTATGTAAACTTAATTTTGGTTGCTTGTCTCGCACATTAAGAGGCCAAGAAGCTGGTCTGTTACATGCATAATGATTAACTACTACCTGCAGTCTGAAGTTCTGACAGAATTCGTTTTCTTTAGCCAATTTTTTGAGCGTTAAGGTTCTTATTTCGGCTAAATGACTCAATATTAATCAAATTTCTAGTTTTTCAAGGTTTTTTTTCCGAAATGCGTTTATCTGAATAAATACTTGTAGTCCTTGTGGTTGTTTTGTCCGTCAGCTAGTGTGATGATTCCCTCCTATGTTTTGTAACGCCGGGCCCAGCCATTGTTTTCTCGCAAAAAAGTGATCTACAGATGCGAATTCGAAGGAAGGAATTGAGCCTAAACTTTTACATAAACTGCTGAGAATTGTCCTGTTGGTCAGTCATAATTCTTTTGGCGCAGATACAATCCATTTTGTTTTTCTTGAGATAAGTGGGTCTTTGGACTGGAGCGCGATGTCACAAATTCTTCCGTTAGCAAATTAGTTTTGAGTTAGCTTCACGGTCGAGCAACTGTTGTCTTCTGTTCAACTTTTCAAGTGCCAGTTTTATCAGGCAACTCTCATGGTGATACAAGTCAGTTGCCATCTTTGACATCTTTAAGTGAAATATTCAGCTTCCGATTATTTCCCCGCGAAAACATGAAGTGCGGAGAAGTGCATGAAAATGGGCTATTTTCAAGAAAAAATGCCAACAGCTTTACTACAGGTATAAGCCTCCAAAAAATCTCATTCTCCTCTTTAATACGTTATCTACAAAAGCTACATGCTAACTAAAACGAAACAGACGTAGTTAGCACCCCAACCCGCCTAATGTGCGTGCCGGTAGCCGGTCTCAGGCCATTATCTTTTGTTTTATACCCTTTGTTATCAATAATGAACTAGCACGTAAGAAAGATCCCGGCTGTAGGTAGCGCAGAGTCATAGAAAGATAGAAATAAACAAGGTGAAGTTCAACTATGATTATTTCACCTTTTTTCTGTGAAAATGGTGACTGCTTGCCAGTAGATTGTAGAAAATGTTTACGGCTTGATCGTGGCTTGCCAACTGAATTTTTAATATCATTTTAAACTTAAACCGGTTTTATTTGCTAGTAGGAAATATGATTTACAAATACTTTTGACATAAAAAATTGCGGAGGAAGAAAAACCATCGCTTACAATGATTTATGATTACAAAAATGGCTAAAACGAAGATGCTTCAACGCTAGCTTTATAACGCGTTAAAGATTACCTATTTCTCATGCAGTTAAGATAACAGACATATCCTTCAAACGTCTTGTTTTAAGTTTTCAGTTAAAATCTCTCGGCTCAGTGGATACCAGTTTTTTCGCTGACTGAAACCCTTTGTAAAAGCGCCGTCATCGATGAGTAGTCAATGTTTTACTTCATGCAATAGACGGGAAGAAATTACTATAGACAATATTCGCATTTCCTGACGGTCCTGGGACGAGTAGGTCTTGAGAATGAATGCGAGGCTATCTAAAGAACCTCATGCAGTCTGAG